TAAACTGGTTGGTTTGTGACGTACCTAAAATTGAGCCATAAAAAGCTTCCGCTGATTAATCTACCTTAATCTACGAAATTTAATTAAAAAATGCAGGTCTCCTGCCGACAATAGAGACGAAACATTTAATTATATGTATTATCATTGAGTTTGCTTTGTATCAATAAAGTGTATAAGCTCCTATCGATTATGTATCATCAGCTGATAAATATACAAGGAAATCGTTTTATTTTATGATACAATTTTATTTTAATACTTCACCACCATTTATAGACTTTTAGTATTTGCAAATTTGTTGGTTCTTTAAATCATTGACATTTTAATGATTTTTAAAAGCATTATCGATAATTCTCATTTAAAACATATTCATAAACTATTATGCGTGCTTTCGTACATGTCATATTGTTACTTTTTCAAAAAGAAAAAAAATATATTTAAGAGGATAAAGTTTTTATTTTTCATTCGTAATGTTTACTTTATGATTTCAATATCCCGAATGTGAAAACTACATCTTTTTAAGCATTTAATAGCGTATGACTGAAAATAGTGTATGCATAATTGCCAAATATGTATAATTCGACATTTTGACGTATATCATAGTCAAGGTAAAATTCTCCAAAGAATTTGAAATATTATAAACAAATTGACCTCTCAAATTTCAAAAATTCCAAACAATAATATAGAAATATATAATTGTACGATAAATATTTGAACCGAACTAATTTTTAAAATATCACAAAAATGCATGAGGAAAATATTTTCTTAATAATCAGTCTTCGATATAATCGTTACATCATCATAAAAAGCAAACAAACAAACAAACAAATAAACAAAACGTCTTTTATAAAATGATATTTAAGTAATTTGAAACGAAAAGTTAATATAACGGTTATTATAAAGATGTAACTAACGAACTATTACAGCTAAATTACATTCATATAAATAATTTATTTTATGTTACTTACGTCCTTTAAATTCCATTTATGCAATTGCTTATAAAATTGTTTACGTTTATCGTCACCGACATCATAAAATAAAATTTTAATATACTGCACATATTTTTAGTATCATGACTGTTTACACATATAAAGTAAAAAAGTACCGCGCAGTTTTTATATCATATTTGATACTTTATAGACTATTTTTATTGTAGTTTTAAATTTCTCATTCTACGTCTATAGATTTTTTAAAGTTGTTCCGATATACCATTATAACAGAGATTGAATACATGTTAAATCCCGTATATTTTATCACATTTCGTAACACAAAAGTTTCTAGTAAAAGTAATATTTAATTATTGCAGTTAATACATAAAATGATTATTATTGCTGTAGATATAATTGGTCATTGTTTACATTTATATCATTGTTCGTACGTTCAGAGATTTAAATAAGCCGTAGACGCAGAACTGTTAGAATTGTTAAAATGTTACTTCGGTTACTTTAGCTACTTCCGGGTGAGAGGTAAAAGCATAATACATCTGTGAATGGACTTCCATTTCCGATACAACGAAGAATAGCTTAGAAATGAAGTCCGAGTTTTTTTTTGTTATTTTGTTTTTGTTTTTTAATAAATGTATAGCAATAGTAATTTTTCGTGTATAACAATCCGTTGATTTAGCTTCAGCAGTTGACCGCAATCGGTTAAATTACAGTACAGTTAACCTGTAATAGCAAATACTTTTACATTTAAAAACTACTTAGTTTATTTGAAGTAATCATTCAACAACTGTACAAATTCTATTTACAAAAATTAACCAGTGAAATACATTAAAATGATTTTTTACACGTATTACTCAATTTATTTTGACTTTATCGGGCCATAAAGTTGCTAAAGTGAAGACTGCTCCCCCAATTTTTTTTTTTTTTTTTTTTTTTTTTTTTAATTTTTCTTTTTCTAATACAATTATTTCGTACCAAAAGAGTATCATTTTTTATTATAAAATAAGGAATATCGCTCTGTCAAATAGATAAATTAATTTTTGACTTTAGTTATTTTATAAAAAAAAGTGCAATCATTAATTTATATATAAACTCATCGAAAGTATTATGAAAGTTAAAATGCAACTTATGAAAAAATAGAATAGATAAAACATTATTTGTAAATTTAAATATCTAACGCTTCGATTATTTTGTAAAAGTAACATTTTACTGCGATGGTGAAAAAAAAAATTGATAAGTATTTGCATCATTATATTTATATATTGTCCATTCGTATTATTAATTGCGTCCAGCTTCTGATGATTTAGCTTTTTATACAATTTTAAGTATAGGAATTGTTTATATTTACTTATGAAATTGTGATTTGAAAAAATATTTACAGTAATATTAATATTTATTCAGCTAATGATTTTTTTATTTGAGTGGCAAAACATTTAATGAAAATAACTAATATCATTAAAAAAAAGAAAGAAAAACAGAGTAAGAGATAGATAGAGAGAGAGAGAGAGAGAGCCATTAGAGTAAGACACACAGCCAGAATTTTTTTACTTTTTACCATTAGTAAACATCTTCCACAAAGTTAAGTTAAAATTCACGACCGTCAGCTTGCGCACTCCTGCTACGAGTTAAAAAATACCAACAGTTTTTTCATCAGGCAGTACATTTTTTTATATTAAATTATGAATTACCTTAATAAATTATGTTTAATTATGATATACGCGTACTGTATGGACTGCGATGAATTTTAATTTCAATCTCTGCAAAACAAATTAGTAAGTATATAAGAAAAATAGATACTATGGGATTAGATAGCTGCTTGAAATTACAAACTGTGCGTACATCGGCGCTCTAGCTTTTCTCTTGAATTTTTTTGAGAAAGATCGTTTTTATATATAGGGAAAAGTCGTCGATGTTAGTTTCCGTTCCGACAGCAAGAAAGAAAAACTAAGGCGCACGTGCTTCGTCTCAGCCATTTCCGGTGGTGAAATCGTATTTAGTGTAAGGGCTTTCGTTGCAGATGTGTTTTAAGCTTATACGTTTCTGTATGACATGAGAACTTTATTTTATCGCTCAAGCTGGGATCATCAGTGCTATAATTACGATACGGTTATTGCGTGGCTGAATTGTCCGATGAACCAAATATTTTTTTTTTTTTTTATCTGTATTGGCACGTCTATCGATAATTTATTATGGAAATTCAAGGCTTTTCGATATTTCCTGTTCAACTGTTTTATAATTCAACATATAAGCATTATTCGCCGGTAATATATATGAAATACACAATTTAATGAAATCGATCGCCATTGCCTTCAAAATATTCATTGCGAAAAGAACTTTGCACAATTGAGTGGTAATATTTTCTTTTACTCAGGAAACAATACGAAATTTCTGAGCGATGATGCCAGGCGCTTAATAATGAAAGATTAAACTGGAATCATAACGATGATAATAAGCCAATTCTATTGTGTTATCGTGTTTACCGAATTAAAATAGTGTATGCTTAAAGTATATAGAGGTTTGTTCAAGCACGAAAGAAGAATAAGAAGAAGAAGAAAATGAAAGGGAAAATGCAAAAGAAAAAAGTAGCTTATTTGTATAAACGAGTTGAATTATCGATAGCTGCTGACCCAACTACTCGGCGTCTTGTTATTTTTAATTTTATTATTATTTTCAACGACTCTATTTATAAAAGCAGTAAGAACAATAGTAAAGTCGGTTTTAATTGCAAAATCGAATTTACCACTTTTTGGAGAATTAGCATTTCAAACGTAGGCCATAACGAAATTATGAAAAAGAGCAGGAATCATTTGAATAAACAAGCAGGAGACTGAAATATTTGAAATTCCGGTTGTTTACATACTACGTGTCAATTATTTACGCAAAGATTTTTTTTGTTTTTGTTTTTGCTTAACGTTTTTTACTTTGATTATTTTTGTCCGTTTAAAACGAGTTAGTACGCAGAAACACTCGCGTAAAAAAATGGGGGCAGGGGGGGGGTGTAAGAAATACTCGGTAAAGATAGCGATTGGACCGGGATATCGTAACAATTGAGGAAGTGCCGGAGATGACGATAAGAGCGCGTGTCCGCCGCATGGGCGTAAATCGAGCATCTCGTCATGTCGTTTAGCAATTTCGCGAAAAGCTATCCCGAAGAAGAGAGCGCGAGCGAGCAAGCTATTAGTGACGACGGTGGCGGCGGTGGTGACGGTAGCGGCGGCGACGGCGATGGGAACGGCGAGTTGCGGCGGTCGCCGGAGGGCTACGAAACAAAAATAAATAGAAGAAAGCTAAAAGCAAGTAGAGAAGGAAGATACGCGAAAGAAAAAAAGCAGACGGGAGTAGAGGCGAGTGTGCTTACCTTGCAGTGCGGAGTGCTGCGGTCACTGGACGCACGTCACCGTCGGCCGGCCTGTGACTCTCTGCGACCGCGAGCGCGGGAAGGAGTGCCGATAATCGGGCCGGAAATAGCGTCACGCACACGAGAGCGCGAAAATACACAGGGTCTCCATACGCACTCACGCACACGCACACGCGCGCCTGTACAGTGAGTGAGAGAGAGAGAGAGAGAGAGAGAGAGAGAGAGAGCGTGCGTGTGCGTGAGTGCGTGCGCGAACGCGTGTGTGTTTTCACGCGCGCGTTCCTCCATCCCGCGCTCGCCGTAGTACGATGCTCGATGGAGCGCAGCCAAAAGAATTAAGACTCTCGGGCTTGTGCAAAAAGCGACGGTCGGACCCCGTTGTTTTTCTTTATAAATAAATATGCTAAGAGTGGGAGCGACGAGGATTTTTGCTGGGCGCGCGCGCCTAAAGCCGAGGGGCCGGGCTAGAGGCCACTCGAGATTCCCCCAGGTCAGCACATGCCGCCTCCGGGCCCCGAACACGTGCCGCTTTAATGCGCAACGAGCATCTGGGGCCCTCCCGCTGTCGCACCCTGTTGTACTACTCCGTCTCCCATTAGTTTCCCTCCTCTCCCCCTCCCACATCGACCACACAGTCCCTCTCTCGCTCACTATGACTAGCCGCTGCTACTCGCTAAACCCGTGCTCTTGTCTCGTTGCAGCGCGATGCGCGTCCTGCTGTCCAAGCTGCCACGGCCTTGGATCGTCGACGAGAAGAAGGACGACGGCTACACGGCCCTCCATCTCGCCGCCCTCAACAACCACGTGGAAGTGGCCGAGCAGCTGGCCAGAGCCGGGAAAGCCGATCTCGACCTGCAGAATGTCAATCTACAGACGGCCCTGCACCTCGCCGTCGAGCGACAGCACACCCAGATTGTCAGGGTCAGTGCGAAACTCAATCCTCGACGGGCCTTGTATTGGCGGCGCTTCGTTCAAGCTCCAACGGTCTTTAGCCGTTACGAGTCAATGGCCCTTTTCGATCATCTCTTCAGCCGCGCTCTCGAACAGATCGATCTATCGAGAAAGTCGTGCACGAAAGGATAACCACTCGTTTTCCCTTAACAATATGACATAGCAATATCATTTTTACTATTATTCCTATTGTAAATTTAAATTCTCGCTTTTGTTTATCATTCAGGATTTTATAGAAGTAATTATAATATTATTAATACGTTAGACAGTTTATTAAGGTACGAAGAGACGCACTTAATTGATATTTTAAAAATCTTTCATTTTCGTAGCCGATATTTTAATATACAGATAGAAATTTACTTTTCCTTAAATTATCTTCACATTTTAATTTTAATTTAAGCGTCATCTCAAATTTCCACTATATTTATCGAATTACTCAAATTTTGTCAAGTATAGATTTCTTCAAGTCGACTTTGCTACTACTCGTAATTAAAAATAATAAAGCAAGTGCTTTTTACCAGATTTATTAAAATTCATGATACATTATGTCGACACAATATAAACAATCAAATTAATTACTTATAAATTTATGTTTCTATATTATTTCTATGTTTAATGAAGTTTTGTCAAACCTCTGATGCAATTGTTTGAAAATGCCATCGGATTCCGAAATTTCAAACGGAACATTATTAAGATCTTTATAATGAGCAATACCATTTCAGTAAAAGTAACAAAGCATAACAAAATGGCTCCTTAATATTTAATTTAAATACATGCATCCTTTGCAATTCGTTGAATTTGATTCTTGATAAAAAATTAAAATGCATTTCGTATACCATGAAATACTTATCGAATTCTTATATATCAATGTAATTAAAAAAAGCTTTAAAAATATCTTGATATTTCATAAATTATCTTTACTTAAAGCTACATATAAAATAGAAATAGTATTTTAAAATATAAATAGATAAGCGTAACGACGAGAAACGACGAATACTTTATTGAGTGAAAAATTGTAGTAATTTAGTTGAGATATAGTAAGTCTATTTAAATAGAGAAAGAAAGAGAGAGAGAGAGAGAGAGAGAGATGAGAGAGAGAATTATTCCAAAACTTCCGTCTGATGATGACAAGTAATACGAGTCAAGCGTACAAAAAGAAAAACAAAACAAAATAAAAAAGAACAATTATATTATTAACTTTTATCACTAAAATATTGATTTCTAGCTGAGGTAACCTTGTTTTCACACATTGAAATGCTGACAAAACTGAAATCACCGTGCAATCAGAATGCTTCGTCAACAAAATCGATAGATAACATGTACAGATATGTAGGGACAAAAGTTGCGAGGTAGAACTTAAATAAATAAAAAAAGAGAGAGAAAAAGTAATGAAGAAAGAAATCACTGTTCGCGCTAAAAGTCGAGGGAAAAAGAAACAAAAACAAATAAATGAATCGAAGCGAAAGAATTATTCGTGAATGGTTTGTGCAGTTGCTGGTACGCGAAGGCGCGAACCTTAATGTGGCCGATAAGGACGGCGACACGCCGTTACACGAAGCCCTACGGCATCACACGCTGTCGCAGCTACGCCAACTCCAAGACGTCCAGGACGTCGGCCGGCTGCTTATGGGTCTGGGCGCTCAGGGTCAGGACAAAAAGAGCAGCTCCTTCATCGCCTGTTTCCTCGCCGCTCACGGAGCTGATCTCGAGCTCAAGAACAAGAAGGGCCAGACGCCCCTCGATCTCTGCCCCGATCCAAATCTCTGCAAGACACTCACCACTTGTCATAAGGATAAGGACGAGTAAGTGCAATGTCATTACGAGCATCAGCGCACGCTCGGTCGTGTTTACAGCTAGGGAGAGGGGGAAAGGGTGAGGATGGGCGAGATCGCCAATTATGCTTGGTGAATTTTAACATTATTTCGTCGTAATTGAACGTTTCCTATCCCAATGACATCCCCTTTTCATTATTAAGTGACTACCCTCTTTACGTCCAAAAGAACTGAGAAATAATTTTTTATTTACGTTCCCATTTTACGGGTAGAGTAACGAAATTTTTATAGCGGGAAATGTATGAGTTTTCAGGTGATTACCTAACTCGCCGCGACGAATTTGCCTGCCATACGAAACGGCGTTAAAATGTAAATTTTTCTTACCATCGTACAAATCGCGTCTAGGAGAGTGCGTCGTCACTTTTTAAACGAAATTTACAATTACGCGTTATCAAATATAGAATTAGAAATATAATTTCTAACTGAAATATCGTTGAAAATTAATACGGAAGATAAGTAAAAACGCTAAAGTTCGATAATGACTTTAAGATCTATTAATATTTGTTAGCTGGCAGATATAATATTGCGATTTCCAACTACGTAAATTAATTCTACGGATGAATAAATAATTACGTAGGTTTTATTGCAAATTGGTACAATTTAATAAAAATTCGTTATTAATTGGTATGTCAGAAGTGCAAAGTTGAGAATTTTAATTCTACATAATAACGGTACATCTAATTCTCCATTAAACTGAATATTATTAAAAAGTAAATAAGTATTAATTGGACAAATAATGTGTTCAATTTAGATATTATAAGAAAATACTGGGTGTACATTTTGTAATTTGCAGTTACATAATGCACGGACTAAGCATTTTAATCATTATTTCAAGAAATACTTTAGAGCGGAAAAATACAGCAAATGTAATTATGGCTCTTTTCTTTTCGCTTTTACGACCTTTAACCATTTAATTATCTAATTTAAATTTAGCATCGAATAGTATCAGTAGCCCATCAAGTGATGCATTTTAACCATTATAGTTGAGTTTTCGAGGAAACTCTCGTAATTTCCTCGTCGTACCTTTGGGCGACGCGGAATGAGCGTCTCCTGCTG